TTTTTTTTTCTGTTCTCTATGTTGAATTTACAGTCTTCCGCTTTACCGGGAACTAGTCGCAACAGTACTCAGTCTGCTTCCAATTCTGACGGTCTACGAGCACTATTTGGTGGCAGTTCAGATAGAAAGGTTGAAAAAGACACCCATCTTTATATGGACTTGATCAAAAATTGCTCATGTTTGAGGATCCCCCAGATAAGGGCATAAGTCCCGATTCCGGAATACACTCAGCTGAAAACGATCCTGGTGACGAGAATGATGTGCACTCTGCACAAACTATAATTAGTCTGATCACTAAGTGAGTGATAAGGAATTTGATTTTTTGACCTCTTTTAAAAGTTTTTTCAGGCTGTCACCTCCTCTTTCACCGATCAGGCAAAGACCTATCGATAAAAAAGCTGAAAGGGAACGCAGGGAAGCGGAGCTAAGAGAAAGGGAGAGGAGAACAAGGGAACGCGAGGAGGCTGTTAGTCATTATCAGTCATTCTAAGTCACAGAACAACAGTTGTATGTTTCTCCATTTATATTCATTTAGGAGAGACATGAGCGGCTCGAACGAGAGAGGAAAGAGAAGGAGGAGCGCGAGCGGCAGGAAAAAGAGCAAGCCGAACGTGAAGAAAGAATAAAGCGTGAAAATGAACGCTTGGAGTATGAACGAAGGGAATGGGAAAGGAAGGAAAAAGAACGTGAGGAAAGAGAACGCAAGGAAAAGGAGCGAGAAGAGAAAGAACGAGAAGAGCGGCAGCGACGAGAACGAGAGCGAGAGGAAAAGATTAAACGAGAACGGGAACTTGAAGAGAAACTAAGGAAGGAGAAAGAGGAGAAGTTGCGGCGCGAAAAAGAACGAGAAATCAGGAAGCAGAAGGAAAAAGAACGGAACAACAGTGAAAAGAAGTCTAAGGAATTGACTGATCGAAAAGACAGAAGTCTGGAGCGAAAAGAACGTACCAAGCCTGTAGATTTGGAAAAGTCAGAAGCGTCTTCAACCGAACGAAAGCGAGATGAAAGTGTAAGTTTTTTTTTGTTAAGTTGGTGTTACAAAAAACGAATATTTCCTTTGACAACAATCCTTACTTATTGTACAAAAAGCTTTTGCTAACGCATAAGCATTTTTTTCAAAAATCAAATTCGTTTCCAAGCTTCGTAAAGATATCTATATCTACAGAGAATTAGACATTTTTGCGTTCATCCAATGTAGAAACTTCGAATAGCTGCGAAAAAATGGGAAATGAACTGGGTGGTTTACTCAGGACTTGATTAAAGCACAAATTGATATTGCATAATCGAAGTGGAAGTTTTTCATCTGAGTTCCCAGTATATAAAAATATGTTAAATTGTAAGCGAGTGCGAGTAGAAGGACAAATATAATCTTTGCAACTAATTCTAAAATTCCTAGAAACGCGGGAAGCTGTGAGATTTTGCAATAAGCAGTCGTTATAGTGGTCTCTGTAACGCTTACTTTTGCGCCGTAATCTGTTAACGGTCCTTTTGACAGTTTACTTTCTTCCAATGTCTTATTGTAAACTTTTAAAGACACCATTAGATTGTCCGCAAAGTCTCACAAAAATTTTCCAATTTTTTTCTTGATTTGGTGTCCTTTCGATTATTGGCTCAAGACATAGCTTGTACTACCTATAGGGCACATAGAAGTTTGCTGATGGTAGCAACCAACCATCTATCCTGGGAGCAACCACTCAGAATTTCAAATTTGAGCCTTCAAATTGGGGATTTTTTTTTTGTTCGGATGAAGTGCCAGTTATTGAACAATGGTATTTAGGTTGGTGAACATCCACTGAATTTGGTCTATTAGGCATATCTGTTTGGTTCCTAGTTATGTAAACTTCAATTCAACATGTAAACGAAAAAATCACTAGTTTTTTATTTCCAAAAACTGCACCTGTTTATCGCAATTATTCTCTAGCTGATGGGCCTTTTTGAAAGTGATCGCTTTTGCTCTTTCCA